AATGTGGTTGTCTTCCTGGTGCTCTTTAATTGGAAATGTCCCAGAGAAAAATATCAAATATCAATTACTGATACAATAGACACAGTATTTTAAACAAGTCAGTGATTTTAACTGGTTAATGATTCCTATTATTGTAGCATGGTATGTATTTTTGTCATGGGAATGAGGTGTGGGTAGCCAGATACTATTACTTGGACAACTTCTTATGGATAGTTGACAGTGAAGAGGACTTCTGTTGAAAATCTGAAGATTTCATCGTGTGATGAAAGCCAGAATGCAAGATAGTTGACTATGATGTAATAGAGATAGTATTCTTTGAATTATTAACTATTTTTTTATCTTTGTCAATTTCTTTAACTATATATGCAGTCTGTTTTTAGTCACATGTCTGAAGCCCGAGCTTAGTGATATTTCTTCTGGTCAGCTGAAACCAGTCCATAAACTAGAACTAAAATATACTGTGAATAATGCTAAAATACAAGTTTCGTCCAGTAGGCTCAAACGTTTTTGGCACAGACTATGTCTTGACAAAGACTTTCTTTAAGTACCAGTGATAACAACAACAATATTTAAATGAAGGTTTTGCAAATATTTTGAAGGTGTAAATTTCATAATTCTTTTGATCTTCCTATTTGGTATCAAACAGTATTCGGAGACACATCATATAACTTTGGTTGATTGCATACCATTGTAACCGAACTCAATTGTCTGCTCCAGACTCAATTATTTAAAGGCGGCGGTCATTTAGCTGGAGTATTGCTGAGTGTGATGTTAAACAACAAATAAACGAACAATGTTCTCTGTGTACGTTGAAAGGTCTGCTCGTACTTTACAGATATTAAACTCTGGTCCCTCACTCACTCACTCCAGGCTAATGAGAAAAGAGGAAAAGAGGTCCCCTTAGCATTGTAGACATCAATCCTTCTCTTCGTCCAACATTGTAAAGGCTTAAGCAAAACATGACAAAGAATGAAAATTGACATTAACATTTAATTGTACAAAAATTTAACCTCATGATCTCTGAATGTCAAATTCTATTGAATATTGTTTGTTTGACAAACCATTTGCTCTATTGAAAATATAGATCCTGTTTCTTGTCTATGCACCTCCTACTCAGAAACCTAACGACCTTCTGCTGCCCTGACAAGGAAAAACAAGGATAGATCTCTTCCAAATTAAGAAACAATTTCAAAACTTCTCACAAAAACTCCAACACAGATGCCAATCTATCAACAGACCATTTCACCCAACAAAACCCACTTCTTTATAAATGACTCCAATCTGAATCCTTTTCCTTCAAATGACAAAAAACGGGTAATTCTATAACTTTATAGACCCAAAATAACCTGCCGTCTAATTGTGTAGCACGACTTATGTAGGACTTCATTGCGTGTATGTGGAGGATCACCTACTTCATCCCACTACGTCAGACAGGAGTTGGTATGGGTACAGGGAGTATTTATAGCTCCGTATTGATTGACCTGTGTCCCCAGACGCCATTACTAATACAACAGTTGCATCACCAGCCGTGACGTCTCGTGTCCGGGTTGCACGTAAATAACTGTACCTCATCTTTGGACCCTACAACGTGGATCTTGATTGTGATTTAAAGGGAAGCCATTTTCTATGTGACCCTCCAGAATGGAAGTGATTATTGATTTTGGCTATAGCCTGTTTTAATATCTGTAATCAACTCGCCAAGTTGCCTTGTAGTTATGGCAGGAAAACTTGGCCGCCTTCTTCAACTAAGTGAACATCTCCGTCTCAAGTGACCATCTCCATTGTCTGGTGGATACAGTGTCTGCCTGGAGAGAAGACTCTGTGGTTTGATTCCTGGTCACGTCATACCAATAGATTTTAAAAGATGGTTGTAGTTGTTACTCTGCTTGGCATTAAGGGGACTCTCTGAATGGTGTGTCCATGTTAAAAGTGGGGATTGATCTCCAGGAGCAAGCACTATGAAAAAAGGGACATTAGTCCAGAGTAGTATAAAGAATTATCATGCAAAGTCACAATCATGTCTAATAAAGGCATGTTTTTATGGTGTTTGTGTTTGTATGATCCAAAGTTTGATTAATACAAGTCAAACAAGATGTTTCAAGATTTCTACGTCAGCATCCTTTGTGACTGAGCTGTTCATGGTATGGTCCTCAGTCCTGCAACGTTTATAAACACAATTCCCCTTACCTGTTTCCCAGTCCTCTCTAGACCGCCTCCATGGTCTAGTGGTAGAGCGTCTGTGGTAAGTGCAATAATCTTGGACGTGGCGTTAAACCCCATTTCACATCTCCTCACCTCCACTCCTCTAATTTTCATTTAAAAGAAGTCAAATCACTATTACCGTCATTATCAAACCAGATATATGAATTCATACATACTTGGCCCTCTCTTTAGATGTCTTGCACAACATTTTCACAGGAAATTGGGTCCATGCCCTGGCTGTATTCAAACTACTGTATTCGACGCAATAAGCGCCCAGGGCGCTCTCAAAATTAGAAATAGGAGACTCTTATTAGAATAATTATTAGTAAAAAAAAACAGAGTTGAGAGATCGTAAATTCCATGGTTAATGCTGACAGCCTGAAATGATACAAAAGAAAAGTCTCATAATATCAACTAAAAAAACATACAAGATTTAATCAGTGAACTGTCTTCTTGTGCTGTTTGGGGGCGCCGGTGGTCCAGTCGTCTAAAGCGCTGTGATTCCATGTGCAAAATTGCGTCCCATGGGCACGCAAGAAACATAAGATTGTGAGTTCAAATCGCAGTTCGCCCCGATTACATTTCTAGCTTTGTCAGCACCATACCCAAGCTCGTGTGTTTCACTGAAGTGGTAAACGTCTGAGACCTGCATCACTTCGGGCGTTCCTCTCGCATTTAGCTGACACGCTGCGATATATGACTGTAATACTGTTAAAAGCGTTAAACCCAACGCACTCTTATGCTGTTTACCATGTGAATGAATGAAAGGACAGAATGGTTGATTTATCAAGGCAAACTAGTTTACAATACTAAGCAAAGTATATAAGCAGGTTATCACGATCTATCTAGCAAATCAGAGTCAACATCATATCATTGTGAGTGTTTGTTGGGTTCTTTGGGTTGGATGATACACTTCACAGGTCAGATTGTGTTAAGAAACAAAATTTTAAAGCTTCTGTTTAACTTCATTTCATGAATATTGACTGTGATTAAGTATAACAATGGGCATTTAAGCTTATTTATTAACATTATCATTATGTGTGGTTTTTTCCATGATTCCATATTATTTTTAAAAAGTTCTCAAAATATACATAGAGAGAGAGAGAGAGAGAGAGAGAGACTAACAGGATTGGTTGAAGAATGTCAACGATCCCATTTGCGTGGATCGATGCTCATGATATCAATCACTGGATTGTCTGGTCCAGACTCAATTATTTACAGACCGGCATCATTTAGCTGGAATATAGCTGAGTGCGGCGTAAAACAACAAACCAACCAACCATTAGATATGACCATGATAACCGTCATTGATAGCAATAATAAGGCCTAAAAAAGGTCATGAAATCGAATATACAGAGATTTTGTCAGTTCCAAGATAACTAAAACAGCGTGCATCAGTGCCCTTAAAAGTTCAGAGATGACGACATGTTAGTTTTCATTGCATACATTGATGGAAAAAGGGCATTTTTTGTGTATTGTACTATTTCTAACTAGCATTTCAGTGACTGTTTTGATCTTTGTTTGAATATTTTGAAAAAATAGCACTTACCTTTAAAGGTACCCGTCTGTTTTAGAAAGCTTATCTTCTATTAATTTTCATTAAAAAAAGTCATATCACCATTATTGTCATTATATAAGATAGCAACATGATAAATCACAAAGAACAAAGAAGAATGATTACCGGTAGTGGTTTATTTCATGATAAAACATTGTTCTATCATGATGTCATTTCTGGAGATTTGAATATGAGCTTGATGACGTCATATATTGGACAACGTTATTTTTGAGAGGGATGTCTAGTAAGTTGTTCCCCATAGATGTAGCTGGGCTAGGCAGATAAATGCTGTGACCGAACGATCACATCCAAGAGTGAGAGAGATATGACAATCTGTATTAACATGATTAAGAGAAAAGGTACATATATTTGAAGTAATTATTGTGAGAATATATGCAGGAAATACCAAATAACCCACCTGTTCGTAAGATGGACTTCTATTCTATTATATTCTATTCAGGGAGTCATCATTATCAAAATTTGGGTGTAAAATAATAATAAGGCCTAAAAATTTATGAAATCAAATGTTCAGAAATTTTGACAGTTCCAAGATAACTTAAACAATGTGCAATCTCAAAAGTTCAGAGATGACAATGCGTCAGTTTTCTCTTGCAGACATTGATTGAAGAAGGGCATTTTTTGTGTATTGTACTGTTTCTAACTAGCATTTCAGTGACTTTTGATCTTTGTTTGAATATTTAAGAACACACTACTACTAAAAGTATCCTTCTGTTTCAAAAACCTTTTCTTGCTATGTTTCATCAAAGGGATTATGGAAGTCTAACTTTGTACCAAAGTGGTCTTTGATTGACATAATATTGTGATTGCATCTTCGTCCAGTAGGGGGATAGCAACCATTAATGTGGGATGCTTAATAAAGTATTATCATATTTATAGCATTTATCTTCAACAATAGAAATCATTTCTTGTGATGTACTGACATCTGAGAGTGGGATGGTATGAGCTCTCTTGTTCAGGCCCTTGAAGGAGATGCCATCACGCTATGCACCCAGAGACCCCAGACTGATTGAGACAAGTTTTTCCCAAAGAAATTAATCATATTATATGAAACATGTTATATGTAACTAATGTCTGAAAATACTTCAGATGGAATCACGGGAGGTGGATGTAATTAACCTCACTGTGACAGATTGGTTCCCAAAGTAGGAAAGTTCCTTAGATTTCAGTGTTACAGAGTTTCTGAAATACTAACTGTAATAATGATAATATATTTATGTTTCAGGTGTCCCACAGCCTTGCTACTTCTAGCAGAAGAAGAATGTCAGACTGTTTTAGAGGTGAGAAACGTCATGTACAGCGTGAATGAAATATGAGAATGTCTCAATCAATTTTCTTTAAAAATTCAATGAAAGGAAACACAATTTCAACATGCCACAACTTCATGTGCTTTGTTGGTCCTAGGTTCAAATGCCAGAGTTGGTCCTAGGTTCAAATTCCAGAGTTGGTCCTAGGTTCAAATCCCAGAGTTGGTCCTAGGTTCAAATCCCAGATTACCCTAATTATGATCCTTGGTTTGTCAGTGCCAAACTCATGTTTCAACAGTAATTATCATCCAAAATGTTTAGTTTCACTGACATTTAACCGAAGTTTGTTCACTATTGCTTGAACTCTGAAAACAAATATAAATACATGGGACCCATGACTTTGTGCTAGCATGCTTTTATTTCAAAATTTCATCACAACTGCCATCACTCTTATCACTAACCTAGCACAGAATATCTCATTTTCATGAGTGTGACAGCAGTGTTAAATATCACTCACCCCTCACCTCTTGGTTCCAGAGTGAGAAGATGTTCAAGCAGGCATACAAGGCAGCAGAGACCTCCTACAGGAAGTCCCAGCAGACTCAGCACCAGAACTCCCAGCTAGAAGCATTACATCGTAAGTCACATATTGTTGCATTATGTGTCAGACATGTTGCATTATATGTGAGACATTGTTGCATTATGTGTCAGACATTGTTGCATTATGTGTCAGACATTGTTGCATTATGTGTCAGACATTGTTGCATTATATGTGAGACATTGTTGCATTGTGTCAGACATTGTTGCATTATGCGTGAGACATTGTTGCATTGTGTGTCAGACATGTTGCATTATGTGTCAGACATGTTGCATTATATGTGTCAGACATGTTGCATTATTTGTCAGACATGTTGCATTATTTGTCAGACATGTTGCATTATGTGTCAGACATTGTTGCATTATATGTGAGACATGTTGCATTGTGTGTCAGACATGTTGCATTATGTGTCAGACATTGTTGCATTGTGTTGTCAGACATTGTTGCATGATATGTCAGACATTGTTGCATTATGTGTCAGACATTGTTGCATTGTGTTGTCAGACATTGTTGCATGATATGTCAGACATTGTTGCATTATGTGTCAGACATTGTTGCATTATGTGTCAGACATTGTTGCATTATTCAGACATGTTGCATTGTTTATCAGACTTTGTTGCATTATTTGTTAGGCATTGTTGGATTATGTGTCAAACATTGTTGCATTAATTGTCACTTTTTGCAATATTTGTCAGGCATTGTTGCATTAATTGTCAGACTTTTTGCATTATTTTGTCAAGGATTGTTGCATTATGTGTCAGACAAGACTTTTTGCAATATTTGTCAGACATTGTTGCATTATTTGTAAGACATGTTGCATTATTTGTCAGACATTGTTGTATTATGTCAGACATTGTTGCATTTATTTGTCTGACATTGTTGCATTTTGTGTCAGACATTGTTTTAACTTCATGAGTCAGATATTACATTGAAAGTCAGACATTATGACATCGTGTTACATTTGTCATGCTCCATAATTATGGTCTTTTTTTCATTAGTGAGAAAAACCTGGTTGATCTTTACTATTAAATTAAGAGATATGACAAGGACCCCTTGAGTTCAATGCATAATTTTAAACAGTGATATGGGAGAGTGTGTATGGCGTCCAGCTATGTGATGTTCCTGAGGCAGTAAGAATATTCTTTCTCCTCTATATGTGTCTTCTTCTGTCTGTTGCAGGGCGAGATACCAATGTATTGGTCTATATAAAGAGGAGGCTAGCAATGTGTGCCCGCAAACTTGGGCGGACTAGAGAAGCAGTCAAAATGATGAGAGATGTAAGTAGTTGCACTAGCTGTTTTGTTGGTTCGGACATGTTTTCGAGATCTTGTGTCCTTGATATATCATGTCTCAATTTTTATTTCAATTTTGTAATGATTGGAAAACCAGGCCACTTGTCAGCTTTTGTGATTTGTTCAGCAAATATGATAGATGACAAAAATATTTGTACATTGTAATGACTTCCTGTTTTTATGTGTATTTTTTTTATATAAAATGCCTTGCTGGGGGTGTGGGAGAGGGGGGAGGAGTACAAAAGGATCTCTCGTCATAAAGAGAGGAGAAATTTCAGGATGAGATGCGCCAATCCATGTTGATAAAATATCCAAATCTTGCCTTCTCCAGAAGTAGCATCCAAATCTTGCCTTCTCCAAAAGTAGCATCTGATGTTATTCAGTACAAAATGAGTAAATTGGTGTGGCATGAGAAACATGTTTTTCTGCCCTTAACACATTTGTCCTCTCTTTGTTTCCTCTACAGCTTATGAAGGAGTTCCCTTTGATGAACTTCAACATCCACGAGAACCTAATAGAGCTGCTGTTAGAGCTCCAGGCGTACGCCGATGTTCAGGCAGTGCTGGCCAGATATGATGGTGAGTTGTGGCTGTGTGGATAGATTCTACATCCATGAGAACCTAATAGAGCTGCTGTTAGAGCTCCAGGCATACGCCGATGTTCAGGCAGTGCTGGCCAGATATGATGGTGAGTTGTAGCTGTGTGGTGTTAGCTTCTACATCCACGAGAACCTAATAGAGCTGCTGTTATGCTGTTGTTAACCGGACCACCTTGCTGACCGAGCACCTTCTGTGTAGGAGCGGTGAGGTAACCTAGTGGTTAAAGCAGTCACTCTTCACGCCGAATGCTCAGGCTCAATTCCCCAAATGGGTGCAATATAGGGGTGAAACAAAACATCGGTGCAGCGGTGCATCGTGAATTTTCATGTGACGATACACAATACGTTTTTTTCTGTATCCATACAAGCCGATACACTTGCTGATATATATTACTTACTGCTTGTTTTTGTAGTTGTTTTTGCCAGTCAGATATCGCAAAATGTGTTGTAATTAGCATTTGAAGTTCTCTACTCAAATTAGCCACAACGAATGCTAGCTTTTCCTTTTGAACCTGCTCTGAAGTATTTATTGTCAAGACATTTCCATGAGATTTGACGTCAATATGTATATCGTGATTTATGTATCGTGACACCCCTAGTATAATGAAGCCCTTCACTGGACTAATGCTGAAAGTGGCGTTGAAGCATACTCACTCACCCACTACATTTGTTGTTGTTTCAGATATCAGCCTCCCAAAGTCAGCTACTATATGTTACACAGCAGCCTTACTTAAAGCAAGAGCTGTAGCAGATAAGTACGTAGCAAGTGTCACACTCATCCCTGCTTGATGCACTCACAGCAAATTATCTTACAAAACAAAAGCGACCCGTGAGGATCTGGGGTAGAATAGGTCTTCAGCAACCCATGCTTATCGTAAAAGGCAACCATGCTTGTCGTAAGAGGCGACTAACGGGATCGGGTGGTCAGGCTCGCTGACTTGGTTAATAATTGTCATTGATCCCAATTACGTAGATCAATGCTCATGATGTCAATCACTGGATTGTCTGGTCCAGACTCGATTATTTACAGACCGCTGTCATATAGATGGAATATTGCTGAGTGCGGCGTTAAACAACAAACAAACAAACAAATACAAGAAATATTATGTGGCAGACTTCTGTACTATCTATTGATGGGTACTAAGGGATTTGTCAGGGGATCCTCAGAGGTTGATATTTGGCCCCAGGTCTATGCCAAAAGTTGGAATTAAAGTTGTCTGAATTCAGGTTTATGATTTCTTTCCCAATATCCCTGCAAGTGAACTAACTTGAAAGTATGGGTACCCACCCAATTGAGTCCTTAACTCTGTGGTGATTCTGGTTTAGATTTTGTCCCCTGCAACGGGTTTAGATATTGTCCCCAGCAACGGGTTTAGATTTTGACCCCAGCAACGGGTTTAGATTTTGTCCCCAGCAACGTATTCTGGTCTTAAAGGGGCACGTACCTAACGCAATTCCCCGGGACTGGTTGTTGCCTTTGTTATTGTTTTTTCCCAGTGAATACCCGGATGTATAGCAGAAATCTAGACTAGTTCGCGACCTCTGCTGCGCCATTCGTAAGCGCATTTGTCACTTTTATGGGTAGTAATAAGGGCGTGTGGTCACATTGATCAACAAAATGAAATACAGTTTTCGAGATAATAAGGAAATGTAGGTATCTTTGTGAGTAGCATCGGTAATGGTGACGAAGTTTTGATAAGTCACTTGCTTGGTAATTTTGCGATTTTCGTTTACACTATTTTGACTTGCAACACAAAGTATATATTTCACCTGAGCATATGCTTTTTTTAAAGTGTGTATATTTTTTTACTGTCAAATGTGTAACAAATTTATTAAACGTCTAAATATTCAGTTATTTTACAAAGTGACTGAAAAACATTTCCATCTGTATTATTATGACAACGAATTCTAAACATTTTGATGTTTAATGTCATCACCAAGAGACTGAAAATGTAACGTTGAAAAGTACATTTCTAAGTTGTTTGGCTTTTAATCCTACATAATAATCTGTTGTGATGTTTGTAGGCCCTTTTGATCGTCTTGATCAATCTGGACAGATTGTTTGGTCAAAATGACTGAAATATTTACACATTTTATAAATTGCCTGAGAGAATCACATTTTACAAATTGACGGTAATATATACACGCTTACAAAGGAAAAGACCTGTGAAGACAACGTCTATCGCGCATTGAAGAATTTCCCAACCAAGACGTAGAGAAACAAGAACGAATCGGTTCAAATGAAGGAAAACAAAATGCAGATATCATAATTACAACCTACCAAATTTATGTGTATAAGTTTTAGGCAGCTTCCTTGTTCGAGGAATGTATCCGTGAATATCCACACAAAGGAACAATATCCCACTCGTCTGCAGCTGTACAAAGAAACTTATTCGATGTCACGTGTCTCAGTAACAATCAAATATTTTAAAAGATATACCGTATATCGTTTCGGGATATTATAACCCGTGTTCGTTTCTCAACTGATCGCTTGGATTGTTTCAGGTGTTTTACATAGGTGTCAAGTCTCAATGGTCGGCTGAGAAAGCCCACGTGACAACTATTTTCATAGCGTCCACGGTTCCTAAAAAATCCATTGAGTGATAGATAACAATGATCAATCAATCAACGTATTATCAGTTAACCCTTTGAACAAAGTATGTTGTTTTTACATCGGCACTTCGCGCCATGATATGAGTGTATTCCCTTTGTTTTAGTAAACCTAGACATGTAAACACTCACTCTTGACATATCCACTGTGCAAGATAACAGTGATTAATCAATCAACGTATTTTCTGTTAATCCTTTGATGACTAGGAACGATCCGTTCATTTACAAAAAAAGTAAATCAACTGATCATTCATCTCTTGCTGGGCTGCCACGTGCATATTACATAACACACATTTCACCTCACTTCAAACCTGGATTTAGATTGAATAATTACCCCAGACACAATAAATGCCAAATGGGAACCTTTGTCAGGTAATATAAGTGGTGCTACCATTCATTAACTGAGCATCAAGTGAATGACGACAAATACATAAGTGTAGGGTTATACGAGAAAACGTGGATGACAACAAGGGAGTAGTAATCGTATTATCGACGCAAGCCGAAATCCGAAAATGCTTTCACTGCATGGATACTGTTTTTAGTATTAAACTATAACCATCTGGGGTATTTCCAAATGACGACATCCGATGAGCTCCCTTGTTCTTTTTGTCTGTTTGTTTAGGCTGAAGAAATGAATTAACATGCGCCCTTTGTCGAAATCTTTATAGATCACAGTTAACCAATCAGTGTTCAAAAATGCGTAAAACAAATATTGCCTCCAGCCTCCAAGTTTATTTAGCTGTCCTTGCAGACGGTACCCCAGTCTCTGGTCACGCTCAGTTGCGTTGCGTATCATCCGGGTACTCACGGGGGAAAAACAATAACAAAGGCAACAACCAGTCCGTTAGATCAGTGCCCCTTTAAGAAGCAACCAAATGGATCGTGTGGTCCGACTCAATGACATGGTTACCTGTGTGTCATCGTGTGTGGGATGTTGCTCACAATATCAATCACTGGATTGTCTTGTCCAGATTTGATTATTTACAGACTGCGGTCACATAGAAAGAATATTGCTGAGTTGGGTGAAACAGGAAAGGAACAAAATAGAACCTAGAGACCATATTATTGACCAGATTTACTAGAAAAAGTTAAAATGTTATCATGGCAAACTTCTGTACAATGTATTGATGGATACCCAGGGATTGTTAATAGTTTTGAGTTTGAAGCCAGTATGCTGTACACCTGAATTATTTTGGGACACAGAATTGTGTATTGGGATGAATACATGATTACATTAATCTGTTTGTCCATCTCGCCACAACCTCCACTATGTTGTTCCAGATTTTCCCCTGATATAGCCTCTAAACGAGGTCTCAGCACAGCCGAGATGACAGCAGTGGAAGCTATACACAGGGCAGTAGAGTTCAATCCACATGTTCCTAAGGTAAATAGTGCTAGCCTTACAAGAGTTGTGTCCCTTGACAATAACACCATTGCCTGCAATCCAATGACTGTCAAGGTTGATGGAGTTACGTCCCTTCTTTATCTGGATATATTCCTCTGTGTCCTTAAAGTGAAGTTCATGAGTCATCCTCGGAAGATCCCTAGTACCTTTTCCCTCATGTAAGAACAGAGGTAAATGGGTATTAGTTGGCTGCTGAGTGTTGCTGAGTTGTTGATAGTGCTGATTAATGAGTCCAGCAAACTAAACCAGCTCCAAGTTTTACTTTACTGATAGTTGTTACCTTTTCGAGTTATGATTACTGCTCATGATATCGAGTCCCGTGAAGATCCAGGGTAGAATTAGTCTTCAGCAACCCATGCTTGTCGAAAGAGGCGACTAATGGGATTGGGTGGTCAGGCTTGCTGACTTGGTTGATGCATGTCATCATATCCCAGTTGCGTATTTCAATTCTCATGATGTCAATCATTGGACTGTCTGGCCCAGACTCTATTATTCACAGACCGCTGTCATAGCTGGAATATTGCTGAGTGTGGCGTTCAACAACAAACAAAGAAACAAACAAAACTTACTGCAGAGTTACTGATGAATCACCTGCCTGTGGAACATTATTTTTTGTTAACAAAACCACTTGATTATTAGTGAGGAAGAAGAAATGATAGGGAGAACAACAACATTGATGAACACACAATGCCATTTAGAAAGTAGTCAAATGTAACAAATGTTATATTTGGGATAACACTTTCTTAGTAAAGTATAGATTCTATACTTTTGGGGGGTTGAATCCCGCCAGAGTCAGACACCTAATCCCGGACGGGACTCAAGCCCCCAAAAGTACGAGAATCTGAACTTTACTAAGAAAGTTTTATCTCAAATATTACATTTGTAAAAACATTGATGTTCACATTGGATAAATTGTTACAAGAGATAAAGAGATGCATGACACATTTGTTTCAGTACTTATTAGAAATGAAGAGCCTGGTGCTCCCCCCGGAACATATACTGAAGCGAGGGGACAGCGAAGCTCTAGCGTATGCATTTTTCCACCTCCAGCATTGGAAGAGGGTAGAGGGTGCGCTGAATCTTCTCCACTGTACGTGGGAGGGCAGTAAGTATTCCTTGCTGCTCAAGTGAAGCATCCCTCAGGAGCCAGAAACTGATGAATGTTGTTTCCATTCCTAGATTCACTGTGATTATGTTTCATTGTTTGCGACCCTAGGAGAAATGGGACCTTGTGGGTGCTTTGAGACAATTGTGTTGTGATGTCATATAAAAAAACGTTTGACGTCAACCTGCTTCCGCAAAAATGGCCATGTAGAGCTACAGTAAGCTATGTTTATAACAAACACACTTATAACAAACCGACCGATATAACAACTTATTTTTTAGTCCCGGACATTTGTTGTATATATGTTGTATATATACTTATAACGAACTACGGTTATTACAAACTAAAATAAGTGGTCCCTTTGAGTTCGTTATAACCTTAGTTTACTGTATGCAGATGGTACACAAATGTCTTATTTTTCTCATGTCGTAATGTAATAATACCATTTTTTCAAAATATTTTAGCCTACATGTCTTTTTTGATTAATCAATCACTATATCTAAATTATTCCAACAGTTATTATTTCGAATCTGAAAATGGGAGTTTGCAGAAAATTGGTCCAACTGTTTGCTGACAAGTATCTCTGTAATACATAAGAATTGAAGCCTGTGTGTTTCTGTGTTACAAAGATACTGTAGTTTTAAAATATAATGTGAAGTCAAAATGTGATTTTTTTCACCCATAACGTCCCTTATCTCATAGTTGGTCATATTTGTCAGAATCATCACCTTCCTCATGGGTCCTGCATCACTTTGGGCTTTCCTCCCACACACTGCCATGCTGTGATTTGTCTGAAATACTCATCAAAGTGGTGTTTAACTCACTCTTGAACATGATTTATGAGTTTCATTCCAATATTTCAAACTTTCTTGTTTATAGTTTCCCATTGGCAAAAATATTGATGTATCATACCTTGTCCTTTGTTACAAAAATTGTAATCATGTATTGCAATGTTGAAAATATTTGTATATATTTGCTCTTATGTATTGCAGCATTCCGAATGATTCCCTACCCACTAGAGAAGGGGCACCTGTTTTACCCCTACCCCACATGTACAGAAAGTGCTGACAGAGAACTGCTGCCTTGTGAGTAGACACATTGGGCCTTGGGGACGGGGTGGGGCGGGGCGGGGCGGGGCGGGGCGGGGCAGGGCTGAGATCCCAACCATTAGGATTGGGGTGAAATCATTGCCTATTTTTAAACCAAATTCTGTAAATATGATGAATTTGAAATATATTATAATTTCTTTTTGAAAACATCGCCAGAAAATTTGGTGAGGTACCTGCAGCCCATGCATTGCTGTTGTATTGTATAAAGAGCATTGCTGTATTGTAAATTGTACTGCGTATGTCCCAAATGAAGAACACCCATTGGACCAGAGGTTTCAGCTGGTTTTTTCAGTCGGTGTATTCTTTTCCATCATGATTTGGGGGAATGGATGGTCCAGTCATCTAATTTGCTGCAATCAGGTGTGCAGAGTTGTGTCCCTTGGGTATGTCGGAAACCTATGAACGTAGGTTCAAATTCTGGTTTGCCAGATTATGTTTCTGGGTTTATCGGCACCATACCCATCCTTGTGAGTTGCACCAAAATGGTTAACATCTGAGACCTGCATCACTTCGGTTTTTCCTCCAAACTTAAGCTGACCCCTAATGATATAACTCGAATACTATTCAAAGCAGTGTTAGACACGTGAAGATCTGGGTTAGAATTGGTCTTCAGCAACCCATGCTTGTCGTAAGAGGCGACTTAAGGGATCGGGTGGTCAGGCTCGCTGACTTGGTTGATGCATGTCATCGTATCCCAACTGCATGGATCCATGCTTATGATGTCAATCACTGGATTGTCTGGTCCAGACTCGATTTTTGAACATTGCTGAATGTGGCGTCAAACAACAGACAAATAAAAACAGAATCAAAGTGGCATTAAATCCAATTCACTCACTCATCCTGACATGAAATTCAGCATTGGATGTGACGTTATTTCTCTGTCCACAGCTTTTCACGAGGTGTCAGTTTACCCCAAGAAAGAGCTGCCTTTCTTCATCTTGTTCACTGCTGGTCTGTGTTCCTTTACTGCACTGCTGGCGCTGTTAACACATCAGTACCCAGAACCCATGGGCGTTGTTGTCAGAACGGTAAGATTTTCACCATGATTTTACCTTGACCTGCTCAGAGGCAGATATTCAGACTCAAGTCGGTAGCTAATGTAAAACAATTCTCCATTAATGTTAATATTTATGATTAATGTGATGGCTTGGTGAGGTGACTGTAGTTCACTGAAAACTTGACCAATTCATTGCATTGAATTCAATGTTAAGATACTTTTTGAATCCTGGATAAATCCTGCGTCACTCTTGACACACAACAAGTAGGGCTGGGACGAGTCCAGATTTACTACCCGGGTACCCGCCCCCCTATTACCCTACCCTACCCGAGTACCCACTGTAGGTCTCAGGAGATGTCTCAAAATGTCCGATTGGGAACTTTTTTAGCATAGACCTGGCAAAACATATTCAGATACATGTATTAAGCAATCTGGCCATGCATACACTGAAGTTGACTTAAGTTATATCTTTATTCAACCATACGAAAAATCAGAAGGAATGGGTGCATAGTCAGAAAGAAAAGCGAACATTAATGACTTGTAGTGTAACCATAGAGTTCCAGATAATTTTAGTCATTAAACAATATATCACGTGACTAACCACGGGTCTGGGTTGTCCTATGGGTACCCAGGTCCTACTCTGTACCCACCCGACCCGGGTACCGAGTTACCCATCTCAGCTCTTAAAAACAAGACATACTACACTTTGTCTAAGCTTATTGAAGACGTTTATTTGAATCAGAACTTGTACTGAATGTATGACAGGCGCTTTATCCCCCGCTACAAAGTGGAATGGGGATATTGGAATGGGTGCTGTCCTTCTGTCTATCCATCAGGTTTCATTTCCGGAGCAGAACTCAAAAACCATGAGAGATATCTTAACCAAACTTGCACATAGAAAAGTCTTTTGGTGAACTGGTGCGTTTTGATAGTTTGGAATTTTTAAAAAAATTATTGTTCGAGTTTCAATGGCAACGACTTTGATTTAGACTGAAAATAGTGGTATTAGCAGGGGATATGAGTATTTCATGCTTGTTTGTGGTAGACATGTAAATATTGTTATCATAAGTTTTGTTGTAAATTATGTTTATTATCACACGTCAGATCCACAGGGCAGTTAAGGGTTTTATTCTACAAGTGATTCTAGTGCTATCATTATTGTATCCCTTGTTGAAGTATAGGAGTGTTTGTGCTGAGATTGCTTTGTTGAATGAGACCAGTGCTCCTTATACAGATATTTATTGGCATCCATGCTTTAGTTGGAATATTGTTCATTGACAAAATTCACATACTCACCCTTGCTCTAAAATTGACACTGGGATGGACAACTTCTGTTTGCAAAGTTATTTCTGTATTTGACGTACAAAGCATCTTTCTCCAATAAGCGTTTTGTACGTTTGTTTTGAATTTCATGTGACCTTGTTTAAGAATCTTTATTATAATGACAAGATGGGAGGTCCTTTCTGGCTGTATTTATCAAATTGGAACAGGAAAGGTAGTTGTCTTTAGAAATATTTTCTAGTTGTCCTTTGCACCACGGTTGTGTCCTTTGTAGTGCCAGAAAGCTATCACCGTGGTTCAAAGCTTCTATTTGCCCTGATTATGTTTGTTGGTTTGTCAGCACCACACCAGTACTGGCTGAGGTCACCAAAGTGGTAAATGCCTCAGACCTACCGTATTCGACGTAATAAGCGCCCACGGCGATATTTGCTGATATATTGGCTAGTGGAGAAGCCCAATTTGCATCCCTTCCGATTGATCAATGTACAAAGGACTTATTTATTTGTGTATAATACGCACTCGTGTGTTATATACACCCTTAATTATGGGCAATTAAATTCTGCAAAAATATATCTGTCGCACATAAACACTTCAGGCTGTCAGCATAAACCACGAAATTTATCTTTCAACTCTCTTTTTTTCACGGAAATAATATTCTAATAAGAGCCCCATATTTCTAATTTTGAGAGCACCCTGGGCGCTTATTACGTCGAATATGGTAATTAACTTTCCTCTCACGTAGAGCTCACGAAATATAACTTGAAGCAACTTTAAACGACACTCCTCACAATATGGAACCTGGGAAATTCCTATTGTAGTTGTGTTGATGTTTGATGTGATAACTATTTACGGAAGATGTTGTTTACTGATGTACGCGATGCTGTTTCAGATGCTGAGTTGGATGTATCTGCCCTTGAGTTACGTCCTGGAGAAACTCGAAGCCATCCTCCCCTCCAACCTTCTCCATCAGCTGTCTCGTATCTAGATGACACCTGTCAATCATACTCATCACTGCCATCACCATGACAACCACCAGGACATATCTGTTGAGACTTCTCGGTGCAACAATGTTGTAGACTTGAAATAGTAATATTGAAGTATTGCCGAAGTGCTGTACTTCATTTGGGAGGTGCAGGACATTGCTTTGTCATCATATCAAATTATGGTTATGATGATTATGACACTGATAATGAATACACACGATTGGTTGAATAAGATTGTATTGGGAATTGTATCATGGATGTGAAGTTGAAACGGACACAAAATAGTTTGGATACATACAGAGTGTAGTTACATAGTGCTATAATTAATTGTAATAGTTTCAAAAAGTTATTTATTGGTAAAGAAAATAATGTAAATTATGCCTGTCCACATGTTTTTTCTTCCTGGCTTTAAATTTTGTTACACAACACAGAAATGGTACTTGCGAACTTCTTCTTCTGTATCCAGTCAAGAATGAGGTGTAATGAGGACTGTCTGTCTGCCCCTCAGAATCTGCATCACTTTCTAGATGAGCAAAACTGTTAGACATCGTTATGAGTGAGTCAAAATTGTTTAACGCCGCATCAGCATTCTTGCAGCTCTTTTTGCTGAGAAATGTATTCTATTGTTCTCTACTGAAAAAAAGTAGTTAGGGGTCATGAATAATGTTTTGGATTTTGTTTTGTAGTGAAGACCAAGGTTCTGCAAATTTGGACGGTATATAAAAATATTTCTTGATCCCTAACGTTTTTGGTTCAGAATATGTCATTTAAAGACTGAGAAATAATGTCAAAGAAATCATTTTAAAGGTTATCAGATGTGTTCATATGAATAAAACTGCACAGTTTTTTCCACACAATGATACAATGTGTCCAAAAAGGCTGGTATAGAGGTTTTCAGTAAGTATACACTCTTGCTCATAACCAAACTTTCTTGTGAATCAACGTTTTGCTCATTTTATCCTTTCTTATTTCATTGATGATGTCAGAAGTAAAGAACTGACAAGTGTAAGATGGAAGAAAGTCTAATTGTCAACCATTTGAACATGTGCAATTATTTTCATTCTGAATATTTAACGTTTCCAATGGGCCTGAAAGGGTCCTTACATACCTGATCCTCACCCTAATGCAGAGACAACCTCTATGTAGCTCCCGTCAACCAGAGGAGTTTGAAATACGTGGCCTTTGTGTCCAGATGGTTACTCTTGGGATTTTAACACAACACTGTCTTTGTTTCATCGTCAATACTTCAAGTGTTTGTACACAGTATGTTCCTCCATCACCTGTGAATACATAGCACCACTTTACAGGTAGTCACTTTTTACCACCGAATTAAGGGCAGACCTGGACAAGGACCTGGACAAGGACCTCGTTCCTGGGAGAGGGAGACCTAGGAGGACTCGCACCAATGAGCAACCAGATTATACTGGTAATATCTCTTGTGCAGCATGTTTTGTTGTGTATCGCCGCACTCCAAAAATCGCTGCACTTGCAGCAATATTCCAGCTATACGAAAGCAATCTGTAAATGATCGGGTCTGAACTGGACAATCCATTGATCGATGTTGTCAACAACAATCCACGCTGTTGGAGTATGATGACACACTATCAGCCAAGTCACTGAGCCTGATCACCCGATACATTTGGCCACCACTACGACCAGCACAGGTTGCTGGGGACAAATTCTAACCCGGAATCCCCACGCGGTGGAATACGTGCCATGACCTGGAGGCTATCTACTCCACACATTGCTTCAATATCAGCCAATGGAAATCTGTACATAAAAGAATGTATTGTGAAACCATCAAACAACCAACAACTGGTATACAATCAACACATGTTTTTCAAACTTCACAAGGTTTTCAAATCAACACAAATTACTGCACAGAAATGATAATGGCAGTACACAATAGAGTGGTAGTACTATATTCAATGGCAGTATATACTATTATGACAGTGGTCAGTATCAAATACAAAAAGACACTGGTGATGTAATGAAATGCGTGAGAGATACGGGTGGCACGCTCTTGTCCCCTTGTTTCTCTAACTACTGGATATTTCCACACGATGCCATCACAACATAGAATGTTCCACATGTTTCTATACAATCTATCACAGTCCACGGTATTCCGGAATCTTACACATCACACTAGCATCAATATATAGTATCTTCCTCACAACTGCTTACATTAAATAGTACTACATTCCAGACAACTAATCTAGTAAATACAATGCAGTTAGCTTCTACCGCATCTCCACAGAATCAGTGTAATACAGTTACATTCTTTGTTCAACAATAAAATGCACTGCCATATGACAATAAATATTACTCTGTGAATTCACAGATAATGGAGGAACACAGTGTGTAGAAACCTGTGAAGTATTGACAATGTTTTATTGATATGTTGAGTTCCTGTAGTTCAAGTGAATGAGGAGTTTCTGCGCTTTCATTATACATATGAAATTACATCTGTCTAATCAACTCATTGTGGAACTATGTTTTCAAGTAATATCCAATAAGTTAATTAAGATTTGATACATTACATACAACAGAATAAAAGACAAGCATTTAACGACTGTGCAATACATGCAGCAATTAGGAGTTTTATTCTACACACAACCGTTAATTATTTTGTCTGCTGTTTTAAGGGGTGATAGGGTAGCCCAGTGGTTAAGGTGTCTCCAGGCTCGTGATTGTGTCAGCTACTTTCTTGTGGGGTACAAATTTAAACACCTTTTGTTATGTTAAAAGCTCCTCTCTTGAAGATATGGTTAATTTAGTTATTTATTATGGTGTATTATAGTATGATTTGTTGTTTACAAAGCAAGTTAGGCTTTCAAAATGAAAGAATTGGTACTCAGGCAATGGCTTTTGAAAATATAGTGCTGTGAGTTTTTGGGGGTTTTTTTTGCTTGTTCAAACTAGTATGTAACCAAACAAACAGTTGTGTTCCATCAACCTGGGAAAGGGCCTCCCTACATCAACAAGCATACAAACTCCTATTGCTGCCATGTAAAGGGAAGTAACTGCATGTTAAATTGGATCTCATTTATTTAAGTATTAGGATTTTTTGATTTTTTTAAAAATGGAAATAAAAACGAAACATGCGGCTGACTTTATGATGATGCGTGCGTTGCCTGAGAACCAAGACTATTATTTTTTTAGCCTTATGTAAGTATGTAAGATCGCTTGTGGAACAGCCCCGGGTTACTAGGGTAAGACTATTTGTCGTTTGTTTTTCTTTACTTCAGTTCAAGCCAATACTTCCTGTATCTGCAACTGTTTCAGCCAAGTGTGTCGTGTTACTGCTGTTAAGTGCTTCTTACCGATGTGTGTGTTGTAAAGTCTGTCTCCCAATATGGGTGCATTTCAATATTGAAGGTGATATAAAAACATATTTTGAAATATCTGCTATTTTTATATACTGATAAATAACATGCATATCTTAATGAATCCGAATTTGACAGCCAAGATGTGACATTTTTTGCTTTCAAGCTTGTTCACTTAGTTCTTCTTGAGACTGCAACCCTGCTTCTACTTAGGTTCAAACTACTTGTTAAATGTAAGGATTATTTCCTACATAACTACAGTCAAATCTCGTTAATCTGACACTTGTTAATCTGACAATCGGCTTTATCTGACACAAAAGATGGGAACCGGTTAAATCAGTGCTGTTTAGACCCGTCAATCCAACAGTGTCGCACTCAACTCCAACACGCCTGATTTGCAATGAATTACAGAAATCACTCATTAACCAATCTCGTTAATCCGACCGTGATCAGCGTACTCTGTGGTCATCTGCACGTGGTATTATTGAAAGACTAGATTTTGATAAGTTTTTAGCTTTGGTCAGTTGGAATACAAGTAATTTTTGTGTGTGTAGCTGAATATTGCTTTTTTTAAATTTGAGTTTTGTGGGGGGAAATAAGTGTTGATAGTGTTTACAGTGCAGGACATTTAGTAACTGTGTTTACAGCGACATGTATTGTCTGATATATATGTTTATTGTTAATGCAGGAGTTTTAAAGATATGTTTTCCAAAGATATCGATTAAAGTATTTTAAGTTATTTATTGATATTGATAACACTTGTAAATGAATCTTATTTTGAAACATTTTACTTATTTCTGCTTTTCATTTAACTTATGTTTTCACATTTCAATTGTTTCGAGTCAGCTTATTCATAATCCAAATTTTGTCAAATCTGGCAGTATTAGAGGTTTGGGATAATGCATTTGATCAAATAATATTTAAAAAGTAGTTACTTTAAGTTTGTATGTTTGTAGTGGTATCCTTTTTTATTATTCAGTCTAAATTGAATAAAAATATGTAAAAGCTATTTTATTATATTTTTCTGAGAACAGTTTTTGTCTCTGATAGCTCAAATCCCTAAACTGAGAAATAAACTTGTGCTTGAAGGAGGTTTTGGTGTAGTTATATGGAGCATGGTGTAAGATGCATGTTGTCTAGTCTTCTTTTTCTTATTTTTTAAAAAGAAACATTTTCCCCTCAACATGAATATTTTCAGGGTAAATCTGTTTTCTTGCTAAACATGTCACAAACAGGATTTTATGTTCTTTCTTTATCTGCATGTGTTTTTGTCATTTGTGCAAGGTCGGAACTACTTGATGCATGTGCATACTTCTATAATATGAACTACTGCTGTTCTGTAAAGTGACAGAAAAGGACTTGATCGTTGGTGTGTATTTCAATTTGGAGAGAAGCCCTGGCAAGGTTTATGCTGACAAAGCACTTTGTTTTCATGAATTTCAACAATACTTTGTTGTTGACAGAATGTGTCTATTTGTGAATGCCATCTTGGTATAACAACATTGTGTTCACAACCTCACCCCCCATGATCAAGTATGGTATCACCTGTCATATGTTAAGGATTGTACCATGTTGGTTTGGAGGGGTGTAGGGTAGGTGTTACATCAACATTTATTATACAAATAAATAAAATGTTGAACAGTAAACTGTTGTTGTGTTTTTAGACTGTCCATCCGGAATCTTGGAGTTGCATCCAAAATTTGTAGTAACAAGATATAGTTGGAATATAACAGAATAATGTTTCGACAGCTGCTTCAAGACACACCATATATTTTCTTAATAAGGAGGAGCCAGGAGCCTATTAACTGTTTAATTGGCATTCTAGAAGTTGGTGAGTAAGAAAATGTACAACTTTATGTATAACAACTTCAATTGCTAGGTGGAGCTTGATAACAATGTAAGGATCTACATCAAAACATCCAGCTTGATAACAATGTAAGGATCTACATCAAAACATCCAGCTTGATAACAATGTAAGGATCTACATCGAAACGTCCTGCTTGATAACAATGTAAGGATCTACATCAAAACATCCAGCTTGATAACAATGTAAGGATCTACATCAAAACATCCAGCTTGATAACAATGTAAGGATCTACATCAAAACGTCAAGCTTGATAACAATGTAAGGATCTACATCAAAACGTCAAACTTGATAACAATGTACATAAGGATCTACATCGAAACATCCTGCTTGATAACGGTGTAAGGATCTACATCGAAACATCCAGCTTGATAACGGTGTAAGGATCTACATCAAAACATCCAGCTTGATAACAATGTAAGGATCTACATCAAAACATCCAGCTTGATAACAATGTAAGGATCTACATCAAAACATCCAGCTTGATAACAATGTAAGGATTTACATCAAAACATCCTGCTTGATAACAGTGTAAGGATCTACATCAAAACATCCAGCTTGATAACAATGTAAGGATCTACATCTAAACATCCTGCTTGATAACAATGTAAGGATCTACATCTAAACGTCCTGCTTGATAACAATGTAAGGATCTACATCGAAACATCCAGCTTGATAACAGTGTAAGGATCCACATCTAAACGTCCTGCTTGTTAACAATGTAAGGATCTACATCTAAACGTCCTGCTTGATAACAATGTAAGGATCTACATCTAAACGTCCTGCTTGATAACAATGTAAGGATCTGCATCAAAACATCCTGCTTGATAACAATGTAAGGATCTACATCGAAACGCCCTGCTTGATAACAATGTAAGGATCTACATCTAAACGTCCTGCTTGATAACAATGTAAGGATCTACATCTAAACGTCCTGCTTGATAACAATGTAAGGATCTACATCTAAACGTCCTGCTTGATAACAATGTAAGGATCTACATCGAAACGTCCTGCTTGATAACGGTGTAAGGATCTACATCTAAACATCCTGCTTGATAACAGTGTAAGGATCTACATCGAAACATCCAGCTTGATAACAGTGTAAGGATCCACATCTAAACGTCCTGCTTGATAACAATGTAAGGATCTACATCTAAACGTCCTGCTTGATAACAATGTAAGGATCTACATCTAAACGTCCTGCTTGATAACAATGTAAGGATCTACATCAAAACATCCTGCTTGATAACAATGTAAGGATCTACATCGAAACGTCCTGCTTGATAACAATGTAAGGATCTACATCTAAACGTCCTGCTTGATAACAATGTAAGGATCTACATCTAAACATCCTGCTTGATAACAGTGTAAGGATCTACATCTAAACATCCTGCTTGATAACAATGTAAGGATCTACATCAAAACGTCCTGCTTGATAACAATGTAAGGATCTACATCGAAACGTCCTGCTTGATAACAGTGTAAGGATCTACATCGAAACATCCAGCTTGATAACAATGTAAGGATCTACATCTAAACGTCCTGCTTGATAACAATGTAAGGATCTACATCTAAACGTCCTGCTTGATAACAATGTAAGGATCTACATCTAAACGTCCTGCTTGATAACAATGTAAGGATCTACATCTAAACGTCCTGCTTGATAACAATGTAAGGATCTACATCTAAACGTCCTGCTTGATAACAATGTAAGGATCTACATCTAAACGTCCAGCTTGATAACAATGTAAGGATCTACATCTAAACGTCCTGCTTGATAACAATGTAAGGATCTACATCTAAACATCCAGCTTGATAACAATGTAAGGATCTACATCTAAACGTCCTGCTTGATAACAATGTAAGGATCTACATCTAAACATCCAGCTTGATAACAGTGTAAGGATCCACATCTAAACATCCTGCTTGATAACAATGTAAGGATCTACATCTAAACGTCCTGCTTGATAACAATGTAAGGATCTACATCTAAACGTCCTGCTTGATAACAATGTAAGGATCTACATCAAAACATCCTGCTTGATAACAATGTAAGGATCTACATCGAAACGTCCTGCTTGATAACAATGTAAGGATCTACATCTAAACGTCCTGCTTGATAACAATGTAAGGATCTACATCTAAACGTCCTGCTTGATAACGGTGTAAGGATCTACATCTAAACATCCTGCTTGATAACAGTGTAAGGATCTACATCGAAACATCCAGCTTGATAACAATGTAAGGATCTACATCTAAACGTCCTGCTTGATAACAATGTAAGGATCTACATCTAAACGTCCTGCTTGATAACAATGTAAGGATCTACATCTAAACGTCCTGCTTGATAACAATGTAAGGATCTACATCTAAACGTCCTGCTTGATAACAATGTAAGGATCTACATCGAAACATCCAGCTTGATAACAATGTAAGGATCTACATCTAAACGTCCTGCTTGATAACAATGTAAGGATCTACATCTAAACGTCCTGCTTGATAACAATGTAAGGATCTACATCTAAACGTCCTGCTTGATAACAATGTAAGGATCTACATCTAAACGTCCTGCTTGATAACAATGTAAGGATCTACATCTAAACGTCCTGCTTGATAACAATGTAAGGATCTACATCTAAACGTCCTGCTTGATAACAATGTAAGGATCTACATCGAAACATCCTGCTTGATAACAATGTAAGGATCTACATCTAAACGTCCTGCTTGATAACAATGTAAGGATCTACATCTAAACATCCAGCTTGATAACAGTGTAAGGATCCACATCTAAACGTCCTGCTTGATAACAATGTAAGGATCTACATCTAAACGTCCTGCTTGATAACAATGTAAGGATCTACATCTAAACGTCCTGCTTGATAACAATGTAAGGATCTACATCAAAACATCCTGCTTGATAACAATGTAAGGATCTACATCGAAACGTCCTGCTTGATAACAATGTAAGGATCTACATCTAAACGTCCTGCTTGATAACAATGTAAGGATCTACATCTAAACATCCTGCTTGATAACAGTGTAAGGATCTACATCTAAACGTCCTGCTTGATAACAATGTAAGGATCTACATCAAAACGTCCTGCTTGATAACAATGTAAGGATCTACATCGAAACGTCCTGCTTGATAACAGTGTAAGGATCTACATCGAAACATCCAGCTTGATAACAATGTAAGGATCTACATCTAAACGTCCTGCTTGATAACAATGTAAGGATCTACATCTAAACGTCCTGCTTGATAACAATGTAAGGATCTACATCTAAACGTCCTGCTTGATAACAATGTAAGGATCTACATCTAAACGTCCTGCTTGATAACAATGTAAGGATCTACATCTAAACGTCCTGCTTGATAACAATGTAAGGATCTACATCTAAACGTCCAGCTTGATAACAATGTAAGGATCTACATCTAAACGTCCTGCTTGATAACAATGTAAGGATCTACATCTAAACATCCAGCTTGATAACAATGTAAGGATCTACATCTAAACGTCCTGCTTGATAACAATGTAAGGATCTACATCTAAACATCCAGCTTGATAACAGTGTAAGGATCCACATCTAAACGTCCTGCTTGATAACAATGTAAGGATCTACATCTAAACGTCCTGCTTGATAACAATGTAAGGATCTACATCTAAACGTCCTGCTTGATAACAATGTAAGGATCTACATCAAAACATCCTGCTTGATAACAATGTAAGGATCTACATCGAAACGTCCTGCTTGATAACAATGTAAGGATCTACATCTAAACGTCCTGCTTGATAACAATGTAAGGATCTACATCTAAACGTCCTGCTTGATAACGGTGTAAGGATCTACATCTAAACATCCTGCTTGATAACAGTGTAAGGATCTACATCGAAACATCCAGCTTGATAACAATGTAAGGATCTACATCTAAACGTCCTGCTTGATAACAATGTAAGGATCTACATCTAAACGTCCTGCTTGATAACAATGTAAGGATCTACATCGAAACATCCAGCTTGATAACAGTGTAAGGATCCACATCTAAACGTCCTGCTTGTTAACAATGTAAGGATCTACATCTAAACGTCCTGCTTGATAACAATGTAAGGATCTACATCTAAACGTCCTGCTTGATAACAATGTAAGGATCTGCATCAAAACATCCTGCTTGATAACAATGTAAGGATCTACATCGAAACGCCCTGCTTGATAACAATGTAAGGATCTACATCTAAACGTCCAGCTTGATAACAATGTAAGGATCTACATCTAAACATCCTGCTTGATAACAATGTAAGGATCTACATCTAAACGTCCTGCTTGATAACAATGTAAGGATCTACATCTAAACATCCTGCTTGATAACAATGTAAGGATCTACATCTAAACGTCCTGCTTGATAACAATGTAAGGATCTACATCGAAACATCCAGCTTGATAACAGTGTAAGGATCCACATCTAAACGTCCTGCTTGATAACAATGTAAGGATCTACATCTAAACGTCCTGCTTGATAACAATGTAAGGATCTACATCTAAACGTCCTGCTTGATAACAATGTAAGGATCTACATCAAAACATCCTGCTTGATAACAATGTAAGGATCTACATCTAAACGTCCAGCTTGATAACAATGTAAGGATCTACATCTAAACGTCCTGCTTGATAACAATGTAAGGATCTACATCTAAACGTCCTGCTTGATAACAATGTAAGGATCTACATCTAAACATCCAGCTTGATAACAATGTAAAGATCTACATCGAAACATCCAGCTTGATA